TGAGCTGAGGGAGGGGATGGTGGAAAGCCGCTATTGGTCAGCGGTGACCTCACACTCAGGCTATTGGTGCTCGTATGACGTGGCACTCTTTCTACTGACGTTCATGTACGGAGAGGAAACCACGCACGAAGAGGAGGACACTGCTGAGTCATAACACTAACACACACACACACACACACACACACACACGGCATGTGTTGATGTTACGTTCCTGTTCTTACATTCAGCTACAGTTTACGAATCTCACCTGCTAGGATCAGTCGCTCATTTAGCTAGTGCACAATCCGCTACAACACTTTTTTCAATCAAAGCGGTGTTTGTAGCTAAGCTAACACGCTAGCAAGTGATTGTGGATAAATCTGCACATCAGTTTAACATTTGATCTCAGTCTATGATATTATTACAGTCTTGTAGTTAAGATGAATACCTGCTGCCAGGTACAGGGTTTCAACATGAACAAACTTCAGTTTTTCTTCATGCTGCATGTTCATGACACAGCGGATTTACATTTAGCCACGCCCACAAAACTCCATAAAAGGCAGAGAGAGCTGAAAACACGAAAACACACGTGAGCGGTGACGTGGATATATGACATGAAACCACACGTGAAACAGGAGTTATTTATTTAAAGATGGACGCAGGTCAGAAACGTGCGGTGAGAGCTGTTCACGTGACGATTTGTGCTGAAGAAACCCCAAACAGGAAAAGAGAAAGAGAGTGTGTGAGAGAATGGATGAGTGCACGCAGGCAGCGAGGATTGTGGGGTTGTGTGTGCTACAGAGAGGGCTGGAGGTGAGTAAAACTGTTTCGTAATGACAAGTCTGTTTCGCAGAAGGAAGGTTTTGCGCGTTTCACTTCCTTCTGGTGACATCACCCGTAGCCGTGCTCTCTCATTGGCTGTAACTCCTCGCCGCAGTCGCTGCCAGTGACGACCCTTTTCGCACCACGGGATGTGGAGTCACCCGACAGCTCCTGATATTTAACATGTCAGATATCTGTGTGGTGTCGGCGAGCCTCAGCGATGCACTGTTCAGTAGTTCATACATAACAATCGACGGCTGATTGGCGAGCGCCGAGTTTCCTCGCCGAGTTTCCTCCGATCAAAGGGTTTTTGTCAGAGAGCTCGGCTACTTTTAAATCAGGCTTAAAACCGTGTAGTGAGAACTAGGATTAAACAGTGAAGGAGTGCCTCCTGAGCGTGACATGCTAAATCTTCCAGTAATGCAGCTCAGCCACTGCAGCGCACCAGTAACTATAGTACTATCAGTAACACTACCTCCTCCTGCTTTGATAGGGTGCCGTTACTTTTGTCCTCATTGAAAGGCTGGTTTCATTTGTTTTGGACTCAGGTCTTTAAACTTTTCAGCGCCACAGTTCTTGTGTAAACGGTCCTGAGAGCGATTTACGAGATACAGTCGCTCCTGTTCAGAGAGAACGAGGCCAGTGGTACACATTTATTTATGTATAATAATCAGAGCGATATGTCCGAGTGGTGCAGTAACATGTTTCTGTAACAGAGCTGATCTTTTAAATGTTTACAGTCAACTATACTGGAACAGAATGGAAACCTTCCTGAATGTTAACTATTCAAAATGTCAAACATTGCCTAATATCTATACATGTTCTGTACCAGGGCCTGTTCCGTTATAGACACTGTTCATTGGCTGGAATCACTCACACGACCCCTTACACTAAAGATGACATCATTGGGGTGACCACGCCCATCCCACCTAAACTATAACACACACACACATTAAAAGGCCTCAACACTGATTTCAGCTAAAGATGTTCCAGTCATTATTTCTTCATGTTTTTTATTCAAATGTTTAATTAGAATGTCTGTAAGTAAACAGATGATACTGATATTAGTTGAAGGATGTTGTCACTGTGGGTTCAGTACTGAGTTCAGCACTACTGAAAAATATCAGTTTCTTGTAATTTGCTCTTCATGCAGTGTTCTTGGTTTTTACAGGTAATAATCTGTCCATCTTCATTTACATTATACTGTGTGTGTGTGTGTGTGTGTGTGTTCTCACACACTCATTTCTCCTCTGCTGAACTTGAACTCACATGAACTCAGTTGAATCTTATTTATTTTAAATGTTATGTATCATTGTCCCTCCAGAAATGTGTTTCAGGATTAAACATGTAGCACAGATGCAATAAAACGAGTGAAAACGCAGCCGGTTTGTACTGAGACCAATTTATCCTCAATCCATGTCTGTAAAACAGAAGAATGCGGACGAGCTACGGCTCGCTAGATAAAACACGGCTCGTTTCATTAATATTCCGATCTAACAAGCTCATTCGATTTCAGCATTATGGGTGAGAGAAAGTCCGCTTTGTCCACCTCAATCTTTATTTCAGAGGAGTCTCTGTTTAAGACCAGACATTACAGGCAGGAATATTTCCTGATACACTATACGGATAAAAGTACAGTGTCCTCCATTCATATTGGCACCCTTGGTAAATATGAGCAAAGGAGGCTGTGGAAAAATGTTATTTATTGTTTATTGCCTTCTGATCGTTTATTCAAAAGAATTCACAAAAATACTCAAAATATATATATATATAAATCTTTGTTAAATATAGGTGTGCAACAATTTTTGGCACCCCTATAAATTCATATGAGCAAAATATATTTGAAGTATATTCCCATTGATATTTTATATTTTTTTAGTACACCTGGGTGACTAAGAACAGGAAATTGTTCAACCATGACTTCCTGTTTAATAGGAATATAAATAAAGGTAACACACAGGCCAAATTCCCTTAGTCATTCATAAAGATGGGTAAGAGCGAGGAATAAAAGGTTGCTGATCTTCACACAATGGGAAGTGTCTATAAGAAAATAGCACACGTATTGAAAATGTCCATTTCCACCATCAGAGCAATAATGAAGAAGTTCCAGTCCACTGGAAATGTTCTGAATCGACCTGGAATTGGACGTGTGTCTATATCGTCTCAACACACTGAAGAGGACGGTTCGAGTGGAGAAAACATCTCCAAGGATCACAGCTGGAGAATTGCAGAAGTTAGTCGTGTCTTGGGGTCAGAAAGTCTCCAAAACTACAATCTGAAGTCACCTCCATCACCACAAGATGTTTGGAAGGGTTTCAGGAAAAAAAGCCTCTACTCTCATCCAAAAACAAACTCAATACACACACACACACCCACACACACCCACACATACACACACACACACACACATATATATATATATATACACTGCTCAAAAAAACACTTAAACAGCACAATGTAACTCCAAATGCTCCCTTTATTTTTTTGAGCAGTATATATACATGCACACACACAAACGTATAAAATGTACCCATCAATTTTCCTTATAAATGTTATGAACTGACTCGAATAGAACCACATTACACCCGAGTGTTTTTCTCAAGATCAAAGTCAAGTTTGTTTTTCTATATTCAGAACCAAAAATCTCAGTTTCTAGACACATTTGTGAAATTTCAGGTCACGTGTTCATTCGTTTATGTTTAAAAGGATATAATGGTGGAATTTCTCAAAAATGTTAATAACTTTGTCTGACCAATCACAATCCAGAATTCAACAGCAGACCCAGTGTCAGTGAGCGGCAGTGACGGACACACACACACACACACACACACACAAACACACACAGAGAGAGAGAGAGATGGCTGAGTTTTTTCGAAGCAAAATAAACTGAAGCAAATCGTCTGCGTTAGAACACAAGCTGAGGAACAGAACCAACCAACAGGTGAGTGATAATAATAATAATAATAATAATAATAATAATAATAATAATAATAATAATAATAATAATAATAATAATAATAATAATACAAATAATAATAATAATAATAATGATGCATTTGTAACTGTAGCATCTTTCATATATTTAACAGACACACCATGATGAACTAGAAAACCTGAAATAATAAATTACATTCTACAGAAACTTGTCAAACAAGGAATAAAAATATTGTATACATTTAATTCTAATTTAATTTCAAACAAAATAAAATGGTAATAATGATAAAAACAGTGTGATTAAATAATGTAAACCATGAAGCTGGGTTTGTTTAAATTCTGCAGATAGACGGAGCCTGACACACACACACACACACACACACACACACACACACACACACACACAACAGGATAAGAAGCTATTATACATTATATAATATTGAAACTACAAAACAAAAGCAAATGGTAAAATAGTTGGTATAATAGTATACTACTACTACTAATAATAATAATAATAATAATACTAATAATAAGAATACAGTTAAAATAATAATAAATTGTAACAATATTATTATATTTTTTGTCTATAATTTGTCTATAATTTGACCTTTAAATGTTGGTCTTAGAGATTCAGTGAGTTGATTGATTTAATGATTCTCTTAAATGAACAGTTCAGCAGAATCAGAAAGACAGAATCAGTGCTGCTCGTTCACATTTTCACCTTTAAATCGTATTTATCTTAATAATGTTGTATTACTGAAGATTTTTTGATGTATTTCACGATAGCCTTTTAAAATGAATTTGAATTGATTTTATTTGTATTTTGTTAGATATATTTCTCTCTTGTTCAATCATCTTTATGTTAGTTTTTTTTTTCTCACTGGGAGTTATTTTATATTATTTTAATTCCACACTTGGTGAACAGAGTTCAGACAAAGTGCAATGCTAAACATCGCCATGAAAGGTTCAAAAATGTCTCTGTTCGTCTGTCTGGATAAGGAGACACCACCCAGGAGTCATGGCCTGGAGGTGGTGTCTACAGGTGAGAATCTAGAGACCATGACAGAGCCATGTTGTGGACACAGCTCTTTTAAGATGGAGGTGGGGGTCAGGTGTAATGCCGGTCTGAGTTTGTGTGTGAGATGGAAAGGTCTGGAGTAAATATAGTAAGTCTTGTATCCACAGACAATACAAGCTCTGGTATCTAACTTTTTTTTTATCAGGGCAGTTTCTCTCCTACTCTGCAATTCCCAACAGTGGTAGCTTGGCAGTGCTGGGGCTTGAACTCCCCACCTTCTGATCTGTAACCAGAGCTTTAACCATTGAGCCAGCACTGCCCAGTTGTGGTGGTTTGGGCAGTTTACAAGGACATACCCTGATCAGCTGTATCAGACACATACATTCCACTGGACAGGGCAAAACCAGAACCAAATGATATCTCCGAATGTCTGGGGATTCACCAGGAGGATCTGGAATCTGTGGCTGACCTTCTCAGCCTGTTGTTACTGAGATACACAGCAGGAAGATCTAAAGTAAACTGAATGAATGAATAATTTTCCAGTCCTTCACTAGACCCTTGAGGAAGACCCTGGGGTGTGTCAGTAGTACGATATCAGAGTCATGTTTTCATTTAATTCTCCTACTGTAGGTTCTGATGATGACGATCCAGTCAGCGATTAGCAGAGACATCTTCACTCCACACCATGAGAAGTTATTGACAGTGATTGAAGTGAAGAAGAGGAGGAGAAGAAGACTGACCTTCATCCCAGCAGGGCGTAAGGGGGATTACATCACCTTCCTGTGTCTGTCAGGTACATTATTCAGCATCATGCTAACAGCTAATGGCTAATGTCAACAATAATCTCAGGGACAATAACTATTGTAAACGTCAGTGTCAGTCTAACATCAAGCCACAATAACGGACATGAAGGTGTCATCATAATGCGAATAACATCATAACTTTATTCTAACATAAACGATAACAGATTTCATGACCCAGAGAGGGATCTTTATGTTAATAATGTGAGCATTGTTGCGATGCCTAAGAGAATGGTGTCATGGTAAAATGTTACACTTATTGTGTTATCGGAATTTTCTCTAGTGACGAATCGAAAGCCGACTCAAGTTTTTATCACCAAAGTGAAGCAGTTTGAATTTTCTCCACAATTTGAGAAACGCTCTCAGTGGAGTCTGGATCAGCTACGCCGCGTCGACGGCATCGACCCCGACAAGGTCATGTTCATTTTAATGAAGTGTTTATTCATTTCTATTTCCACAAATAAAATGATTCAAATGGGATTTAAAAATGAACTCCAGTGCAATAATCTCAAACATTTTATTTATTTTTTAAAATATGATTAATATAAATATTATTATTATTCTTATTATTCAGGACAGTCCAGAGTTTGACCTGGTGTTTGATCACAAATCTGATCAGTGGGTCGCTACATCTTCAGCTGAGAAATGTATGTTCATTCAGATCCTCTATCATCTCTGTCAACATTACTGGGAGAAACAGATTGAACTGAGTGTCACACCGCCCCCTGTGGGTCAGAAACCCACCACCACCACCAACCCTCCCTCAACCACCACCACCATCACCAAACCTCCCTCCACCTCCACCACCACAACCACCACCCTTGCCTCCACCTCCACCGAACAAACAACTGGTCTGAAGAAAAAGCAGAAGAAACGGCGTGATGCGCCACGTCCCACCGAGTTCGTTAACTGCCAGTCCAAATTATTGGGAGGTAAAAAACCCACTAAATTATTAAAGCTATGTTAATGAAGACCAACTGCATTGTAATGCTAATGCTAATGCTAATAATATCATGCTTTTGATGTAGCCTCAATATGTCAATTTATGTTTTGGAATTCAAGACCAATATTAACTTCATAAATATAACATTATTTATTAATTAATTCATAATGTCACCCCTTTAAAGTCCATGAACATTTTTCCCCACACACGATGGACATCAGAGGAGATAAAGGAGTGAATATTTTATGGACGAAGTGATGAATGAAGTTGAAGTTTCTCTGTAAGAGGAGCAGATGAGTGCTGGGTCAGATTATCCTTCACACCATGAGCACATCTTGTTTACAGCAGAGCGCATCGTATTAACACACACCAACACTATTTTATTAATTCCACAAATGAATATTATTCACAAAACAGTGAATAATATAAAAGTGTGATCAGATCCCACATATTATTATTTCACATCCTCGATGTAGCGTCCTGTGGCTTTGTGCTCAGGAGTAAACGTCAGAGCTCGATGTGAAATAACAGTGCGCTGGATCAAGTGCTGTTCTATTCTGTGTGCTGCTGAATACCGAGCGTGGAAGACATTCTGGTATTAAACCAGTGATTAATGTGATCATTACTAACACTATACATGCAGTAATATATTTGTGAGATACGAGCCACCTGTTGGATTTAATAACTCTCATCATATTAGTCTTTTTATTTTTCATTTGTAAATTCTCTTGTTTTTATGTTACATCATTAATTTGACAGCAAAGAAAAAAACCCATTATATCCACACACACAGTCTGTATTTTCTGTCCCGTTTGTTTTGGCTATAGGTGAGTGTTTGGAGTTCTAGACTCTAGTTAAAACCTCGTATCTGCGTTTTGACTCGAGAAAAATCTTGTGTCGTGAACTCAGAGCTCAGAAAATTCACCGTGTAACACGACTCTGAAGCCCAGAAACGTTCCCTGTCTGGATCTTTATGTTGTAAAGTGTGAATACAGCCCATTTTCAGTACAAGAAATGTTACTCTGATCTCATAGATATCTCACAGATAGCATTTCTGTTGACTAGCAGTGCTGGATGTATTAGCATCTGACACAGTGTGTGTGTGTGTGTGTGTGTGTGTGTGTGTGTGTGTGTGTGTGTGTGTGTGTGTGTGTGTGTGTGTGTGTGTGTGTGTGTGTTTGTGTGTGTGTGTGTGTGTGTGTGTGTGTGTGTGTGTGTATACTTTTCCAGATGCCTGCTCACTACACATCGTCATCTACCGCTGTAAGATCTTCCTGCACAGAATGAGGAACTCCATGACCTCTGCTCAAGAACCAAGTCACAGTCAGAAAGGTAATAATAATAAAATAATAATAATAATAATAATACACTGCTGAAACATAGCCTTATTATTTATCTTCCATCACTATATTACTATAAATGATTCGAATGTCTGTCTCCGTCCTGAACGCTACAGTTGATGCTCGTACTAATACATCTCAAACACACTGTGTTCCAGACGCTGTTTATTCTCTGTGTGAACTCCTCTATTAAACATTATCAGTTAAAACTATATTAAGAAGTTAGAACAGATCCGGTGTGTTCAGAACCATAAATTGACAACATTCTAGAACCTTCTATTTAAGACAACCTGGTGTTTAGGATGGAACTGGAGCGTCTCTCCATCATTACTGTTTCCTGTGCTCCAGCTTTTCATTACTGTGTGACAGGGATGGATCGGTGTTGTGTGTGTGTGTGTGTGTGTGTGTGTGTGTGTGTATGTGTGAGGCTCTTTGTTAGGCTCCATTACAAAAGTTCAGAGGACCTTTTGTTTACGAGCGAGGGCAAGCAGGGACACAAAGTCAGAATGTGAGTGTGTGTGTGTGTGTGTGTGTGTGCGGCACTGGGCTTCACACTGGAGTGTAATGGATGGGAGAGGTGCCAGGAGAAGCGCTGTGTTAATTCACGTGTTGATTAAATTCTGAATGGAATATGAAGAAACATGCAGCGACTTCCAGAAGAGTTTTATTATTGTCTCTGCTCCAGTTCATACAGCTCAGGGTTCAGGAACACTGTCACGCTAAAACGCTGTAAAGTCGAGAAAGTACAACGACAGAAACAGAGTAAAACTCACTCACGTGATTCCACGTGATTCACTCTAATATTGGTGTGAGGAAAGTTGCTGGTATTCAGAGTCGGGTTACGCAGCTGAGGGAAATCTCCTGCGTGTCGTTCACACCAAACCTGAAACATCTACACAACTCTGTTCTTCTCTGATCGTTACACAGCGGGTCTTCACATTTATAACCTACACTACACAACCAAATACACAACCAAATACACAACCCACTACACAACCTACTACACAACCAAATACACAAGCAAATACACAACCTACTACACAACCTACTACACAACCAAATACACAAGCAAATACACAACCTACTACACAACCTACTACACAACCCACTACACAACCAAATACACAACCTACTACACAACCCACTACACAACCAAATACACAACCTACTACACAACCCACTACACAACCAAATACACAACCAAATACACAACCTACTACACAACCTACTACACAACCAAATACACAACCTACTACACAACCAAATACACAACCAAATACACAATCCACTACACAACCTACTACACAACCAAATACACAACCTACTACACAACCCACTACACAACCTACTACACAACCTACTACACAACCAAATACACAAGCAAATACACAACCTACTACACAATCCACTACACGACCTACTACACAACCCACTACATTCATTAATGAAGAGTTATATATTACTTCTGATCTTCACGAGACAAAAAAGAGCAGTTTGATGTGAGATGTAAATATTTATCAGGTCTTAACTCATTGTGTCACTTTCATTTTAGCTTCTCCGGTGAAAGTGGGCGTGGCTAGCTCCTCCCCTACGGCGCAGAGCATCATGGGAACAGTGGGTCGCAGGGCGAGTCAGGTGTTCAGCGGTGATGTGAAACATCTCAGTGAAAACACGCAGAAGGTAAACAGTGACGTCAGCAGGCTCTGATAATCAGTGTAGTGTTTATAACGCATCACAGGATAAAGACACGAGGAACTTTCTGCGGAAAATGAACTTCCTGTTAATGTTCATGATTATAAACGAATTTAGCGCCCTCTACAGGACTTTAATGTACTCGCAACTAATAATTTTGGGAAAATATTTACCGTGGATGAGACAAATAATAGGATTAAAGAAAATACAGTTTAGTAAAAGACAGTAAACTAGCAAAATTCAGCTTAAAACATAATACATAACTTTTATTTTGTTTTTCAAACTGATTTATTTTAAACGATTAGAAGGTTTTATAAAAAAAAGAAAATAGAAAAAGAAAGAAAGTTAAGCAAAAATATTCATGATAGACTTTAAAGAAGCACTACAGAATAACACTGTACTGATTTATATACTATAATATACTAATCAAGCTCAAAACAGACAAACAAACAAACAAACAAACCACAATATATATATATATATATAAACTCATATTTAGTAAATTTAGTAAAAATGATAGGTTGGTCTGTAGCTCGCTAGTAATC